ATGTTGTTCGCGAAGGTCTCAGAGCAAATGTCGTTGACAAGTACCGATGCGACCCGTTGGTATGGCAGGCCCAGTTGCCTTAGCGGAAGGCCGGAACCTGCGCCGTAACGTCTCAACTGCAAGTTGTAATCAGATCGATAATTACTGATTCTTTGTCGACACCCGCTCCATGAGCACGTGTTCCTCATAATTATGAATACAACACTGTGGTTGTTCACGGACTCCATGCTTTAACAGAAATTTTAAACATAGGTTTCCACATACATCGACTATAGACGAAAATCAAGCATCGATAAAATCTCTGTTCTGAGCTAACATTTCAGACAAGAGCTACTATCTATTATTAGGCATTTGGCGGGGTGCACTTCCGAAATATCAGCATGAACTTAAGATTTTTTCGACCTAGTTTCTCTAGGTTTATAGCCATTACACTGGAAAACCTAATGTGTACGAGATTCAAATATTTGCACCACATCAGCATGAACTTCAAATCTTCATATTTCCCTGTAAAAACATTCTTCAGGACTGGTCATGGTTGAAATAGCCTTCAAACAATACACTTATACAGTTTTTGATCGTATCCGGCGGTGTTTTACCCTAAAATTCATTCGGTTTATAGTAATCAATTAGCAGTTCCTAAATCGGTAAAACTGGTAGTCACAGGCACGAAAAGTTAGGAAGAATCATTCATGATGGAACATCTAGCAGCCTCTGAATAAGAATAACTATTCATGAATACTATATCGTTTATGTTAATATGGAGAAAATAGCTTGACAATATTTTTTCCAATCAGGAAGCAGTCTTAAACCATGTACAATAACATCGACTGATCCTGTACTTTAGTTTACTGTACGCCGTTACTTGCTGTTAGTCTGGAACGTTCGTCGAGAGACCGACAACGTCGGCGAAAACAGAAACTGGTTATCAGAAGACATCCGCAGCTGAGTAGCAGCATCCATCGTCCTTATGGAAACTTCTTATAATGCACATCACGGACGTCCTCCACAACGTTTTAACATGTTACATCGCCATATGCTCATACTCAAAGATTCTGATCGCTCCAGGCGATCAGGAATAACATCTAAATATGCTTGGCTGTAATAACATGTCATTTTATCTTCTGTCCACTGCTGTTTTTCTGTTCTTATTCTGCTATGTTCACTATTTATGTTTTGTTCCTGTTCAACAATTTCTTATTTTCTGTCTGCCTAAGCCTCTTTAGGATTACGATGACAGTAGTGGCTATTCTCACATGATGAACTATCTTGACAGTGATTACTCTACAAAAGTGCAAAAAAAACAGATTTTGTGGATATACTTTCTGTGCTACTTTAATGACCTTTACAGAAAATGGTTTCCTTTCGTAATTTCATTTAAGCAGCAAAAGTTCAAACTTCAAACCATCGGCAAGCTAAACAGCCGAGCAAAACGAAGTTCAACTGAATCCATAGAAAGGCAAGAACAAGAAAGGTTGTAACAGCTGGAATTCCAGTCTTCCTTACATTTTCATGACTGGGCAATTTCTAGTGCCCGACATTTGATGAAGTTAATTATGGGACACTGATCTCCATTTCCATTCCATCGTCCACGAATACCCTATATTAAAGGCAGAGTCGACATCTATGCAGTCTCCTGTCTCTTTCCCACAGGGAACCTCACTGAATTTCGAACCCCAGACCACTAGATACGGAGTCCGATACTCTACTGATTGAGCAACTCCAGTCATAATATTGAAGCAATGATCTACATAATAAGCCATTCGTCTTCTTGCACCTACAGTAAGGAAGTTACTGTCTAATAATGTGACAGAAAGAGGAAATCAAGGAAAGAAGGACATTACATGCCCAAACTCGGACACCTACTCTTTCAGCTCCGCCAAGACCTGTGCGACGTTTGCCTGTGACGCCAAACGAATCATGATGTCGAGTTTCTCCATTTTCACGTATATCGGGTCGTTGTACTTGACGAAAAACACTTTCATTTCCTGCTTCAAGATGTCTGGTCGTTTCTGAACGATGAGGTTGATGTTGCGCAAGGCGACGTACTGAATTTCGGGCTCAGCGGAAAGCAGCGTCACCAACGGAGGAGCAAGTTTTTTTGTCAGCATGTTGACGAAGTCCACATCTTCGACAATCAACTCCATCAGTCCCATAAGTACCTGTGAACGCGATAGACGAAATACCGCATGTTAATACTCCTTACAAACTTTACCTTAATGGCTGACAGTACAACCGCGGCGTTTGCATGGGCTAATCGGGGAGTGACACGTTCGCATATGCTAAACAACAACTGCAATATGAATACGAAGTGGTGCAATAGTTCAAATAAAAGAAACGTACGTAACAGAAACAGTAATATAGTAATGTGCCTCAAAGTGAAAACATTTTAGCACTACTTCTCAAACAGAAATACAGCACTACTAAGACAACAGACATAACCACTCAAAATAATAGACATATCAATTTCATTACTGCTTCAATGAATAATTGCAATATATGTAGTAAGTCCTCTGCAAATTCATCCTGAGAGAAGAAGAACATAGAGAAGAGTGAAGAACAACTGATTTAAACAATCACAAAATGGAACGAAGTACGGATACAGGCATCTCCTCTAAACATGCTCAGATATCTTTAACAAGACTATCGTACTAAAGAATGAAAATCGAGTTTGCGTTCGAAATTAGATGTTTAAAGCAAATGTTTTGAAAAATAATAAATACAATCAAGGAATGATAAAACAACGAGCCAATTTAAAAAAATCCAAAAAATCATGATAAAACCAATTAAACCTGCCATCTAAACATAATATGACGATTCAGGAATGACAGACGAGTGATCAAATAGATGATTCGAGGATAGAACATCAAAAAACATTCTTCATGCAAAGTGAATGATTGAGACAGGTCAGATGTAGCGTTTAAAGTTGCTTGAATCTCTGATGACGTCAACAATCTACCTTAAATGTTCTATTCTCACAGTATCGACCAACTTCTAAAGCATTAAACTAACCAAAAATTTCTGGAAAAAAACTGGCTTAAAGTAAAACGCATTTTCAATAATGTCGATTTTCGAAACAAAAACGGGAGCCAATTTTAGACAAAAAGCGTTTATAAATGAGAAAATTTATAACAAGCAATATTCTTTTGTAAACAACTTTATGCTAAGTCACCAAGTTTACTGCTTTAGAAAATAGAATTTATTTCCTTTCAAGGAGTTCGAGATGCCAACAAAACCAAAATAAGCAGGAAAGAACCCCACTGCAACACATCGCAATGAATTAAAGAGAAAACGCATAAAAAATGCATCTGGAACGAAACAATTAATACTCTACACTTCTCAACTAATAAGAACTTCTCATTCCATGCTTGTTAGGCGCGAAAAACGTCAGAAAACATATCAGCCTAAAGTCATCTACGGCAGATGTTGATATGAGCGTTAGAAACAATTTAAAACTGTAATTCATCGAATTTCAATTCAATTTCGATGAGGAATTCTGTTTCCTTTACAATCGCGGAGGCAGACTCGCCAGAGCGTGCTTTCAACGTTCCTGATCCTGTGCCAGCGTCTGAGCTTCGGCAGAAGAAAACCGGAGTCGAGAGAAGACTCCTTCAATACACTTGCACTAGATAAATCTTGGCCATCCCCGGGCCTTCTGCCGATCAGATGGGCAAAGAGCATTTCTAGAAGCATTTTGAACATGTAATCGTGACTTTGAACATCAACGCAGCGGTGACATCCAATCTGAAGACTCAATTTCAATCATTTACTTTCAAAGCACGCTAATCCCTATCGACAAGCTCCGTGGTCAAAGAACCAATAATATTTCCCACAATTCAACCTAGACCTCTTCGTTATGAATAGCGAGCAACGACTTGCATAGGACGACATGAACGAACGACGGAGTGCACAAAATCTTTTGTGCCGTTACTGTAGTCGTTAAATATTACCAGAAGCATTGAAACAGACCAAACGCTTTATGGATTTCAAAGCAGTTCAACCTAGGCGAAGGATAACATGCCTAAACAGCTGTGCAGGAGGATAAATGTTTAAAGACCGACATAATGCCAAAAGAAAGGTGGCGAAACTGTCTTGACTGTTCCGTCTACAATTTGAACAAAGGATGAATATTCATGAGCAAAACAGACGAAACGCATGAACGATGTATGAGGTAATATCGAGAAATAAAACTGGGTAAGTCTCATCATTCAGATAGTCAAGTCATTCCAAAATATCGTATTCGCGGCTTCAACCCTCAAAACGAATGATGGCATAACTTAAACTCATACGCCCACATATTAGAGAAGATGGTTTGCTGTGCCAAAAAGCTATGGAAAATCTAACTGTAGCAGAAGACGCCTTAGTTGCTTCCAACGCATACGCAGTCAATGTGGTGCCAGACTCAACTCGATCTTCTTGTTGATGAAAAAATACTTAAGTCGTTGATTTCACCTGCAATGCTGTCAAATTATAGGTTTTTTTCCTTTAATGGTATGTAACCATGGAAGTAGAAAAAAAATTCTTGAACGCTTGATGATTCCAGACATCCGACTAGTAACATGGAATCTAACAATACTGCTAAGACCTTTCAGAAGATTTAATTTACAGAAAATCACGCAGTACTGATTCCTGAAAAGAATAGTTTAAATGTTGCTGTTGTTATCATAAGGTAATATTTAGCCTAAATTGTAGTTTATGTTATTTTGAAATTATTATATGGGGATATTGAAACTTTCCTGCGCACGCGGTTAATTTTATTTGAGAGGAATGGAAAAAATTAGCCGCTATGAGAAAACTTATCACATAGAAGATTGTTGATGTCAGAACGAGGTTTTCAGCTTAGAGACAGAGAAAAGAGGCAAATAAAAGATTCAATGCAGCCAAAATAGAATATAAAAAATTAGCCTATTGTCAACACATCATGACCAACCACTGAGACCTTCACTCCAAGAAAATGTAAAAAAAATGCTGAATCCGGAAGGTAAAGGAACAACTACTTATCTATCCGCGTAACAAGCTGCTTTATTCATGAGCTTGGAAGAGATGTCAGCGGCACATGGACCGAAACCATCAGAAAACCGAAAAATGCAAATGACAAACACCAAATCATCAATACTACAAAACAACTCAGGTCGCATGAATAACACTGTTTATAAGTGACAGTGGCTCTAAACAAACTAGGCTCATTCAAAACTCTAATATGCTGGAATAAGATGTATATATGTAAAACATTTATGCGCTGGTCTGCCGTTTTTCAAATTCTGAAAAAAACATAATCTTCCGCATAAAAAAATTATGCATCATATTCAATAATATAGAAAATTTCCACATCTAAAATTTAATACTGAATCAACTACCAACCTCTGAGCCTCTCGTTCGTCTTTCGGCGTGTAGCTCGCCAACGAATCAAGAATAAAGACTTGGCCCCATCTAAACATCAGAAAATGTTAAGGAATTAAAGTGGATATGTAACAAGCTAGCCTACTCTGTGCATTCGTTCAAAGCAGTGAGCAGTTTGTTAACAGTCTGGATGTTCATTTCGATTAGTGGCTTGCTACTGATGCTGTTAATCTCGGTCAATGCAGCCACGGCATTCGCTACAACCTGAACACGACCAATGAAATGAAAAACAATCCTCAGTCAAGTGTGAGTACCATCGGATTCGAGTCGGACATCAGAGCCTGGAGCTGATCCAAAAATCCCTGATCTTCTACTAACTGAGGATTTATGTCATAAAGCTTCACGACGCATACAGCAGCAGTCTTGCGAACATAAGGATCCTCGTCTTTGAGGCACGTGCGCAGTGGCTCGCACAAGTACTCGGTAATTTTATCCACTCGGATGCAACCCATGGTTCGCACCGCCAATGCTCGTATCAACGGATTAGGGTCTAGACAATCCTGAAGAGAAAACATGATTACGAGATTAGAAACTGAACATACGATTTATCTAAGATAATAAATGTTTGTTCTCATTAATTTTCCTATCTATCATCGTCATAGTCTTTAACCAGCACTGGATACTACTGGAAAAATGTAGGCCTTTCAGAAGTTTCTTCCCACCGAATCCCATTTCCTGACATGTGGTTAGGCTTTCCTCTTGTCAGCATCATGTTCTTCGTTCTAAGCTAGCAACATCTTAAAATATGTCCAATGTACTGCCATATTCGTTTTCAAAACCCATTCGTACCGTCTCATTCAGATCACTTTCACCAGGTTCCATTTTATGACGCTTAATAGGACACATTCTGCATATCTGCAATAGACATGTCTTAACCTCTCGATGCCTATACGACCCTTCATACTGTTCTTTACATTAG